TACTTTTCTGTCCTGTGTAAAGTGCTAGGTTTTTGTTGGCAAACTGAGCACATTGCTTTCAGCTTGTAACTAATGAATAAATTGAAAGTAGAAAAGTCAGAGGACACAACCATTTCCAATCTGAAAAGTAAAATGTAAAATTTACTTCTAGAAGAATATTGTGTATGACTTGGAGAAAAATTCACATCAACTCTACCAATTTTAACATGCAATCTTAGACATGTGGGTTTTGTTTAAAGTGTTTCCTCTTTATTTCTTGTTACTCTTGAATTTAAACAGTGTTGGTGCAGTTGTCGCACAATAAGTTTCCTGCGGTAAGAGGAAAGAATCACAGGCTGAGTTTGTCTGAAGAAAGGAAGGCTGGCTGCTGATAATTTAGTGCTGAATACAAAATGATCAGAGTTTTGTTTTTTCCTTTGCCTGCCATGTGGTCAGGGTTTTATGCTGTCCCTGAGCTTTTTATGCTCAAGACCAGTACTTTACCACTTGAACCACAACTCCAGTTCCAGCTTTTTGGTGATTAATTGGAGATAAAAGTTTCATGGTCTTTCCTACTTGGGCTGGCTTCAAACTGTGATCCTCAGATCTCAACCTTCTGTAGGATTACAGGTATGTACCACCAATTTGAGGCATGATCAGATATTTTAAGAGAAAGTGATAAGTTTAGCACAAGAGGATTCTTTTGCATGCTATGGTAACTTCTGGTATCTAAGCCTCTGGCAACTGCCTTGCTAGCAGGGATTCCCTCCCAGGTCCCTGGAGACAGGGGTGTGCTGGAGAGCCAGGTCTGTGTGTACCTTGAAACTAAGTCTGAAAAGCAGGTCTGGGATCCTCCGGAATGATTATTTCGTCTCTGATGGACAGGCCTCTGGAAAGGCTGGGAAGTATATACACTTGATGTCCTTGCTTAGGTATGCACAGGGCCACCAAGGAGAATACAGTACAGATGTACATATGTGTTTGCCTAGGAGATGGTGTAGGAAAAGAATGAGAAGCAACAGTTAAGAAAGAAAAAGAAAGAAAGGCCGGGCGCTGGTGGCTCACGCCTGTAATCCTAGCTACTCAGGAGGCTGAGATCTGAGGATCGCGGTTCAAAGCCAGCCCGGGCAGGAAAGACCGTGAGACTCCTATCTCCAATAAACCACCAGAAAACCGGAAGTGGCGCTGTAGCTCAAGTGGTAGAGCACTCGCCTTGAGCTGAAGAGCTGAGTGACAGCTGAGGAAATAGATGCATGTATAGGTTCCAACTTCTATCTGGGGAGAACAAAAGCAAAAAATACAAAATTATAGTAGAAGCAGTGTGGCCAGAGCTTACAGAATGGGGTGGGATACCATTGAGGGGACAGACTGATGTACAGCTGCTGCCTGGAATGTGGATTTTGGTTATGGCCATATGAATATTGTGATGTGTGTTAAAAGGTTCTCTGCCAGGTGCTGGTGGCACATGCTTGTAATCCTACTCAGGAGGCTGAGATCAGATGATCGAGGTTCAATATCAGCTTGAGCAGGGCAGGAAAGTCCGCGAGACTCTTTATCTTCAATTAAACACACACACACACACACACACACACACACACACCACGCGCGCGCCAGAAATGTAGCTATAGCTTAGATGGTAGAGCAGTAGCCTTGAGCTTTGAGCCTAAAAGCTCAGGCACAGAATCTAGGCTCTGAGTTCAAGCTTCAGGACCAGCACCAAAAATAAAAAAAATGGTTGTCTAGTGCTGGTAGCTCATGTCTGTTATCCTAGCCACTCAGAAGGCTGAGATCTAAGAATTACTGTTCAAAGCTGAATGGAATAGGAAAGTTCGTGAGACACTCTAGAACAAGAAAATGAACTCATGTGGGGCTGGTAAGGTGGCTCAGTGGTAGAGCACTTACCTTGCATGCCTGAGGCCCTGGGTTTGGTTCCTTAGCACCACATAAGCAAAAAGAAAAAAGCCAGAAGTGGCACTGTGGCTCAAGTGGTAGAGTGCTAGCCTTGAGCTGAAGAGCTGAGGGACAGCGCCCAGGCCCAGAGTTCAGGCCCCACGACTGGACCCCCCCCCCAAAAAAAAGGAAAGAAAATGAACTAATAAAACTCAAATTCTTTACTTGGGACACAGAGGTAGGAAGATAGTAAATTCAAGACCTGCCTGGGCTAAAGCAAACAAACAAGACAGAGAATCAAACTCTAAACTTCTGTCTAAAATTGTATGAGCAGCATATTGACTTTTGAAAAAAATCAAATATGTGTTCACTAGAAATAGTGAAAGAGGACGAATAGTTTAGTTGGTGCAGCATTCTGTCTACCATCCTTCTCTAAGAATTCCTGCCTCGGTGTGGGTGCTAGGCACCAGGAAGCTGGGACCTGTCTCCATCTGTGGGTCTCCATGTGTTGTATTTCTCAGGATGCAGTGATTGTGCCTCTACTACTTCAGGGCATATATTTTTTTCTTTGAAGAAAAACAGCACAACCTCAGCAGGGTGCTGTTAGCTCACACCTAAATTGTAGCTACCTGGGCAACTGAAAACAGGAGGATCAGGATTTAAGGCCAGCCCAAGCAAAAAGGCTCATGAGTCCCCCATCTCAATTTATAGCTGGGCAAGGTAGCACATGCCCATCATCCTAGCCATGAACAGGAAGCCTCAAACAGATTCATACTAGGCATGTACCCAGGCAGGAAGAGACACTTTATCTCAAAAATATCCAGCCAGGCAGGTGCCAGTGGCTCACACCTGTAATCCTAGCTACTCAGGAGGCTGAAATCTGAGAAGTGTGGTTTGAAGCCAGCCCAGGCAGGAAAGTTCATGAGCTTTTTATTTCAAATTAACTATCAAAAAACAGAAGTGGTGCTGTGGTTCAAAATGGTAGAGCCCTAACCTTGAAGTGACAAAGCTTGGGACAGTACCCAGGTGCTGAGTTCAAACCCTATGACCACCACCACCAACAACAAAAAAAACCTGCTAAAAAAGGGCTGGAGGTATGGCTCAGTGGTAGAGCATCTGACACCATAAGTTCCATTCTATATTCGGCTAGAAAAGAAAAAAGAAGAAACAACACTGCCTCTGAATATAAGCTAGCTATTTGATGTGGTGTTCAGCTGAGGGCATGGAACTAAGTTCAAATACTGTAAGAAAATGTGCCTACTATACATCCTGCCTGTGAGGAAATTAAGGGAATTTTTCTTTTCTTTGGTAGCGGGGCCTGAAACTCTGGGCCTCTTCAGCTCAAGGCAAGCACTCTGCCACTTGAGCCATGGCACCACTTCCGGTTTTCTGGTAGTTAATTGGAGATAAGAGTCTCATGGATTTTCCTGCCGGGGCTGGTTTTGAACCGTGATCCTCAGATCTCAGCCTCCTGAGTAGCTAGGATTACAGGCGTGAGCTATCGGCGTCCAGCAAGGGATTTTCAAAGTGAACACATAGTTCTTTTTCTCCACTTCTTCTCCATGTCCTCCTACATCCTTATCCCAGAATACACAATTCCTATCTTTGGAACCTCGCCTCTTTCCAAGAGGTGAGTACATCATATCTAAGGTTGAAGGAAGGGCACTAGCCAGAAAAACTTCAGCTCCCTTTAGTTCATACTTCACTCATAAGCAAATAAACTTGAGAACTGTTTTCCACTGTGAAAGAAAAGATCTGTGAAATGAAGTTATTTTGGCTTATATTTTTTGCCTTCTTCAGTCTTCAGTGATCATGTCTCAACTTGTAGACTAATGATAACCACAGGTGTGGCTTCTCTTTAAATGAAACATTCCTGTTATTCTGAAGCTCTCAAATGGGTCAATCTACCATAGACAGTGAATCAATGGGGATTTGATGCTGAATGGGATGATGATTGGCTTTGATGCCCTGTAAATTTCCTCCTAAATCTCTTACTCAATGGTAGTATTCTTACAATCCTAAAACTAGTGTGTATGTGTGTGTGTGTGAGAGAGAGAGAGAGAGAGAGAGAGAGAGAGAGGAGAGGAGAGAGAGAGAAGAGAGAGAGGAGAGAGAGAAAGAGAGAGAGAGAGAGAGAGAGAGAGAGAGAGAGAGAGAAGGGGGGCTTCATTTTTTCTTTAACAGAACACATTAGCTCTCCAGATGTTTAGTTCTTATTTCTTTTGGAAGCAGGGAGTCCTGGGTCTGTAGCTGGGCTGTGGGTATCACTGCCTTAATTGCACAGATCTACTGTGCACCTAGTTAATGACCTTGCTCTCCTCTTGTTAGGTCAGTACACCCACAAAGGCATGGATTAGTTAAATTTAAGGAATAGTCAGTGTTATTTTAAAATGTTTGGGCTCTAGAATCCTGAGCTAGGTAAAGAGGTTGAATTGGAGTCCTTCCCTATGTGTAGAGCAGAAATCTGGAGCTGAAGGCCAGGACATCTGGGTGAGGACAGCCAGGCACTAGGGTGGGCAATGATACTTGCTGAGGACTCCTGTAACCTTTGCTTTGATTGTTGGCCAGCCTGCTGGTCTCAGTTTCTGTGAAGCTAGCCTTACTTTGCTGTGAGCCAGTTTTACCTTTTCTGGGAAAGGCTTTCTGGGCCAGTGACCTTTATCCAGTGATGCTCAAAAATTTTTCCTGCTAAGATTCACTCCATTTCAGGGACATAAAAAATTGACACTGGGGCTGGGATGTAGCTCAGTGGCAAAGTACTTGACTAGCAAGTGCAACATCCTGAATTGGATCCCCAGTATGAAAAAAGAAAAGAACAAAAACAAAAACACCCCACCCACAAAAACTAGGCTGATGCCAACGGGCTTACGGAGCCTACCTCTGAGGATCCCTTCCCATATGGCCTTTCCACTGTTTCTCTCAGCCCCAACCCCATGTCCTGAGAGTTCTCTCTGGTGGGAGGAGGAGGCAAGGCCTGGGACTTCCCTGCTTCGTAAGCCTCAACTGATCAAGCCTCACCTCCCTATTTCTTTTAGAAAATCCTCCCTGCTCTACTACCATTCCCCAGTTCCTACCCTATACCAGTACTCATATGGTACAAGATACATTGTTCTACTGGCCTACTTGTTTACCTGTCACTCAAAATGGTTACCTCTTGAAGAATAAGAACTTGATTTGATTCATCCTTGCATTGGCTTTGCACCTGGCCCATAGTTCCAGAAATTGGTGTTGGGGAATGAATGACTGGCAAGGATAGGTTTCCCTTCTTATAATATTGCCAGTGACTCTGTCTGTCTGTCTGTCTGTCTCTATGTGTGAATGTTTTTAACTTCTAAAATAACATATTTTTCAAATAAACAAAAAGCATAGAGAAGAGCATAACAATCCTTTATCCACATTTATTTAAAGTAATGGCCAACCTCTTGCCACATTTATTTTATGTTTTATTTCCAAAATACTTCCAAGCAAATTTCAGGTGTAACATTTCACCCTTAAATACTTATGGATTCTTCTCTGAAATGAGTGTTTTCCCATAGAACCGTGATGCTAAATACAATACCATTCTCACACTGAATAAAATAACTAGTAATTCCCAAATATTTTATGATTGACTTATTCAAATCAGAATCTACTCCAAAACCACATGATGCACTTAATTGTTACGTCTCCAATCATTTTTTTCTTTCAACCCACAATACTAATTTGTTGAAGAAATCCAGCCAATTCTGTAGAAAAATCCATTTTTCCTGGTTCTGCTTAAGTTCCCAGACTTCTAAAGTAGAGCTAACCAAAGAAAGAATCACAGCCACCACAATGGGGGTCTCTCTCCTCTGCATCATCTAAGCGCTCCTTTGCAGGGCACTGACTCAAGACTCAAGTTTACCTACCCTGTGTGCTGTCATCTCTTTCTGAATGCCCCTTTCCTGGACTTGCAGCGTGCTCACACAAACCTTCCAATAAAGCATAACTTCCACAGTTCTCTCCACGGCTGCTAGCCATGACCACATAAAACCCTGAGGCCCTTAACAAAGGCCTTCATTCTCTAATGAGACTTCATTATAGGCCATAGCCACCAGCATTCAAAATGAAGTTAAAACTCTCTCCTTCTAACTTCCATGAACTCAATAAATTTATTGGGCTCATCCCAGAAAAACAATCTGTGTTCCAAGTGACATAGGCCAGCAGCCCCACCCTCATCCTCTGACCCCGGACAGAGGATTGCCAGGCAGACAAGTCACAGGGGTGGCTGTTCCTGCCAGCAAAAACCTTCCTTTCCATTCCTTGGATTAAGAAATGTGAGGGATTTGAACCACAGTTTCTGCCACATGTTAATAAAGAATTATCTTGGCAGAGGTGCCCAGCACATCATACAGAAGGAGCAAGATCCACTTTTGTTATTGTTGTTTTTACCTTAATAGTTTGGGAGGCTGGGGTAGGGGCTATGGAGCAGGTGGAAAGCTCCAGTTCAGCATAGCTTTGAGTTTGAATCAGAAGCTCTGGCTAAGGTCAGTGAGGGAACTTAAAAATTACAGCACAAGGAGGAATCATGCTATGGCGTCATGCCAACAAGGGGTGTAGCCTGGAAGCTCTACAAGGACAGTTCTTCTGAACCTGCCACCAGTATCTAACTATTGACTTAGGCACACTGGATTTATATTTGTATTTATGATCTTTTACAAGGAAAAATTCTCTTCAACAGCTACATTTCTAGTGACTAGAGTAGATTGTATTTTTATTCTTCTATAACATGGGAAAAATACTTGCCAGGCAATAAAGGCTAGGGAAGAGAGGACTTTATACTTTTAACTAAATTATGGATCAGTTAAACCATTTCTTGGGTTTTTTTATTTTGGCTTTTCCTCTTACCAGTTCTGTTTCCTGTACCTGGCAAAAATCACAATGTTCTTTGGTTGTTGGTCCTCAAAAATCCTTCTTTCTGCTGCACAAAAATTGGATCCCAACAGTATAGAGTGCAGGGAGCAGGAGAAACTTCTTTGTTTCCTTGTCAGCATCTCGATGGAGTTTTGGCCATTCTGGCAAGTTGATAACCATGTTGTGTTGTGCTTGCTATGGGAAGCAGGTGCTGAGAATGGTGAAGACCGTCAGAACTTGCACTCTACCTTTAATTAACGGCCCTCCATGCACACACTGAAGGGGGTCTGGACTATACAGGTACCTGCATCCTTTCAGGTCTTCTGTGAGATTGACTGTATAAAACCAGTGGGAAGGCTGGGAGCCTATGAATCAGCTTTAGCTTTCTGGCATGTCTTAAAGGAAGTAAGGGTTAGTTAGTAAGTAAATAAAAAAGAGGGGACAATCCCTTGGGCAGGTCACTAGTGCTTTATTAAAGTCAACATAATTGGTACAAACGATCATAAGACAAATATACAATTGAGGAAGAGAAGGAAAGAGGGAAGGTCATAGGAGTGGGGCAAAAGAGAGGGAGAGGGAGAGAGAGAAAGATAGAGAAAGAGAGAGAGAACAAACTTCAGGAAGAAGTTTGTTATAGAGTGGATTGCCCTTCAAGAACTTTACCTTTAGGCTCTTCTTTCTTTTGTCTCTGCTTCTCTAAGGTCAGCGTCCATGTCTTCATTTCTTTTGAGGTCCATTAGATCTTATTGAGATTCAGAAAACTCTCCTTTCACTGTCCTATTCACCTTCAGTGTTCCACTAAATAAAGGCTCCCTCAGCTCATAACAATCAACCCTGTAATCCAGAGTACCACCTACAATCCATCAACGTCACAGAACCTTGGCTGAGGTACCTCTTGGCATCACAGGGGTGGCTGGGAGTTAAGATGTGCCAGTTATAGGAAAGAAAGGAAATTTAATGGTGAGTTTTATTTGTACTCATAGATGAAACCACAATCACAGAAAACTGGTGACCATAAAGTTGGCATATCTATATATATTTTAAAAAATCAGTCTTCTGTAGGGAATTTTTTTCTACTTTATGAGAAAACAAAAGCCACCAGACAGGAAGTCCCTCAGATTCTTGCCACAAACTTACTTGAAGAAGTACTCACCATTTCCTCCTTCCTGTCTGTCACAGTTAGATAGATTTCTCATTGTCAAGGCCATTTCCAAGGTCCTAAACCTGTCTTGCAGATTTATGGGCTTAATCATAGCTTCTCTCTACATTTGCTACTGATTTAAACAAGCCCACCTAGCTTCCTTCCATCCTTAAACCAACATCCTCTTTGCTCTTACATCTTTCCCACTCATTTCCTACCTAACTTGTTTTGGATACATCAAGCTCGTTGAGACAGGTGTCTATACTCACCATCACTATTTCCTTGCTCTCCATGCTGAAATTCTCCTTGACAGCTAGCTTCTGCTCTAATGTTCCACTGGTCTTGTTCAAATATCAATAATCTCATTCCTAAATTTTAAATCCCCTAAATAGTATCTGACACTTAAAACTGTCTTCTAGAGGGGCTGGGAAGGTGGCTCAGTGGTAGAGCGCTTGCCTTGCATGTATGAGGCCCTGGGTTCAACTCCTCAGCACCACATAAGCAAAAAGAAAAAAGCCAGAAGCGGCGTTGTGGCTCAAGTGGTACAAAGCTAGCCTTGAGCTGAAGAGCTGACTGACAGCGCCCAGGCCCAGAGTTCAGGCCCCATGACTGGACCCCCCCCCCCCCGCAACAACAACAACAACAACAAACTGTCTTCTAGGCTTTAGTGGTATCTGTCTTTTCACTATGATTTCTCTCCTTCCCTCCTTCCCTCCCTTTTTCCTCCCTCCCTTCTTCCTTCCTCTCTTTCTTTCTTTCATTCTTTCTTTCGTTCTTTCTTTCTTTCCCTTTCCTTCTCTCCCTCCCTCGCCATTCCCTCCTTCGCCATTCCCTCCCTCTCTCCTTCCCTCCCTCTCTCCTTCCCTTTCTCCCTTCCTCCCTTCCTCTCTCCCTCCCTCCTTCCCTCCCTCTTTCCCTCCCTCCTTCCCTCCCTCCCTTTCTAGCTTTCCTGCTTTCTTTTTTGTTGATATGGGGCTTGAACTCAGGGCCTAGGTACCACCCTGAGCAATTTTGTATGAGGTTGGTGTTAAACCACTTTGAGCCACAGCTCCACTTCCTCACTATGATTTCTTAAAATCTTTTGTGAACTCTTTTGTCCAATATATTCACTATAGAATTCACAGAAAATTCCATACTTTATCATTCTCTATCCAGAGATCCTACTATCATTGTGAAATGGGCATGTCCTACACTGAGTACATCATTTCAGACCCTAAGCTTGCTCTCCCATGATCATCCCCTTCTCAGTGAATCATGCTGTCATCTCGCCAGAACTTGACATCCTTGATTCCACCCTCTGACCCATATCCCTCATGCCCACTCAGTCACTAAGACCCAGAAATATTATTTGTCAAATATCTCCAAGTCCATTTATTCCTGGATTGTTTTGAGTTATTATCTCTCTCATCCAGTTAATACAACAACCTCCTAACTATTTGTCCTGACTCTTGTTTTGCCCCTTTCCTTCTGTTCTTTACATTGTACCAGGTTCTTAATCTTTCTCATCTGAGCATGTCACCCCTTATTGACACAAATTACCAATGGGTAAGGTAATCATCAGGACTAATCATCAAGACTGCTGATTGTATTCTTTGATTCTCTGGTATTTTTCATCACCCTCACCCCTAATCTGCAGTCTTCACTCAACTATTTATAGTTTTCTGAACATCCCTCTCATTTGCCTGAAGTTGTCTATGTGATTCTTGAAATTTTGCTCTTAATTCTATTTCTTGGTTAACTCACAATCCTGTCTTAGATCGTAGGTTACAAATATGACTCTCTTTAAAGCATCGGATCCTGAAGACCATAGCACACCACCAAAAGCATCACACTCTTACCACAATAGTGTGGTGAGAGAAACCTGCTAGTAACCAACAGGAAAGACTTGCTTGTTTTTCTAGTAGTTGTAAACCCAGGAACAGGACCAGGTCTGGTGGATTGGGCCATTTTCAACACTTTGCATGGCAATGACAAGTTGCTGAATAAATGATTCTAACCAAGATTGTGGACAAAAGTGATTCAGTGACATGACCCATTTTGAAAACATTAAAATCTTTGCCTTCATTCACTGTGGGTCATGCAATTGTCTCAATCCAAACCACTTCCCTATTTCTTCCATTGAAATGATTTTTAAATAAAGTTGCTTTCACTTTTCTCCTTTTAGCTATGATTAAAGCTGAGATCACTATTCTAAGGAC